ATTTCCATATCTGATGGAATTACGGATAACTGTACACTTATGTTCTTAAATTAGAAATAGAACAATATCAAGGGTAGACTACCAGTACAAATAGCTAACATGCAGAGTGTGTTACAAAAGGCAAACCACAAGGAAACAACCTTTCGTGCAATATTATCTATGGACTCCAAATGCTTGGAAAGATCATTCAAATGGCAGAATGCAACTTGATGATAATCTCTTTCAGCAGTCATGCCCTTTTCCATTGCTCCTAGTGCAAGAACAGCTGATTCTAGGGCATAACGCATGTGCATAAGTTCAATATCTTGGATCCTATCCAAAAGAAAAAGAAGTAAAATTAAACAGTTTGAAATGTATAGAACATTAAGAGAAAAAAATGTGATTCACCAAAACAAAACAATGATATCCGGTGATCAAAACTAATTATACCTTGGTGTCAAATCAAATATTCTCCAAGTGACAAATAAAAAGAATATAACTTAATTTTCTAAAATTCAGAACCCTACAGCATCAAACACATGCCTTACATGATGACAAACTATTAAGAATATAACTTCTTTTAAAGAAATATGTATGTTAAAACTTAAAAACTTCAGTTTACATCTTGGATACACACAAGTTTAGAAGTCCCATGCACTATTTTTTTTTTTTTTTTTTTTGGAAACTTAATCCCATGCCGTATATTTGCAAATCGAAACTTGTCACTTAATCTCTAACTTAAACACAAGGCCTTATCTTTAACTAGAACATTACTAACTCATTAGAACCAATGAAAGATTGGATAACTCTATCCAAAAAAACAAAGAGAGAAGGGAAGAAGAAGATCGGATGGCAGTTGTCAAATTAAACATTGGGTTATCCTGGTATCCAAGATCAACAGAGAAAGCCAGCTGCTCCTTTCAAAATGCCAACAATGCAAAAGCCAAAAAAACCCAAAAACAGCTCGTTCATACTATGAAACATGGGCACTAAATCCACAAAACCACTACATCAACAACATAAAAGTCTTGTTCTCAAAATTGAAACGCAGGTAACTAGAAAAAGTAATAACAATTAATGGGCCTTACTAACTAACATAAGAAAAGAACATATCGACGAACATACACAGAGTAACCCCAGTACTTTACCTCCTTTCTGCAGCAATGCTAGAAGAAATTGGCTGCATATTAATCAGCTCAAGCGCATCCTCAAATCTGATGCCTGGAACAACATCAAACAAAACCTGCATAAAAGATTCTTCAAACATGTAACGCCATGATCCAAAATAAAATACATGCAAAGAAAACTACATCATTAGATGTTTAGATAGGCTTTGAGAAATTCAAAGAGACAACACCATAAGATGAAGACAGGTCTAAATTACCAAAAGCCTAACAGGGCAAATCACAGAAACATCAAATTGAGATATCATGCCCATACTAATGCAATAAAACGAAACAAAGTTGATTTTTTGTAGGAATGCAATTGAAAGCTTCTGAATTGATTTCTCAAAAGCCATGGGAGAAACACTCACCCGAAGAGGACTCTGAACAGAGAGCCTTTCTAATACAAAGTTCTCAACAAAAAGGTCTGAATTAGTATCTACTCTGCTGCCAACCATATGCCCTTTTCCAGATTGCAATAATGAGAATTTTGAGCTCCATGATCGACCAGAGTTGACACATGCAACAAATGCAGCAAGATCAAGATGGTAACATAAAGTGTCACAAAGATGTTCCACACAAGATATCTGCGGGAAACAAAGCATCATATGTCATCTCATTGACATCTTTTATCATCATACACAGTCAAGAGAAATCAATTTCATGGAAAAGCTCACATCTTCTAACTGACATTTAACCTCAGAAGATGCATCCTGCAGCAAGTCAGGTGACTTGCTGATCCACAGTAGTTGCATCAACTCCCTTCGTTCTTTTAATTGACCCGACAGTAAATCCCAACCCATAGCAGCTACCAAAGGCCGAAGGCGAGGAAACAATAAGAGAACCTAAGAAAGAAAGTTTCCTAATCAAGTGAGATTCAGAGACAACAAACAAAAGAAATTCAATGAATTCTACACTTTTAAATTCCATTAGAAGCAAAACCGAGGCACAAACATGGTTAGCTTCTTGAAGCTCTGTCCTCTTCACTGCAGAGAGAGCAGCATCCATTATACATTCCAGCACATGTGATCCAGAAACACGAGCATAATGGTACAAGTCTCTCATGCAAGAAAATATTGCTTTTGTTAGGCATGCTGTCTTCTCGTCCAAGTTCATTTCAGGTTTTAATTCCATTATATTACTTAGAAAGCGTTGCATTGGGAGTGGAATTTGATTGTTATCGGGCCCTCTATGCATCTCAATCTCTTCAGCTAACACCTCATCTTGAATAATCTGTGACAAAAAGAGATTTATTCTACCTGTCACCTTAACTACAGTGTCTTGCTAAAAACAATGTTGTACCATTTAGAGCTTTCCTGGTCAGGAAAGATAAAGGGCTCATATGCAAGTGAGTGCGCGCACAAATTACTTGTATCATTTCAACGAGGTGTCTGGAATTTGATGAAAGCGCTTCTTCGTAAACTGAAAGCAGTCTTCCTCCCATAACATCGTAGTCGCCTTCACATGCCTCCTTTTGCGCCAAAATAATCTTCAGAAGGTCTTGGAAAACCTTGCTATATAAGAGTTGAATAAAAGTGAAGATAAATACCCACAGGCAACAAAGAATCATGAGAAAACTATCACAGTTAATGAAAATCAAAATGGGCTATCACAGTTAATGAAAATCAAAATGGGGCGACGAACAATTCAAGTGTAAAATGAAATACCAGAAACCTGCCAGTATGGTTTCTGTTTCATCTCTTTTACTTAAGTAACTAAGTTGAGAATCGATCTTAATTCAACATACCGGTACTCAGATTCGTCCAATCCACGCTCAACATGAAGAAAACGAATGCGAGAAATTGCACCATCTACATCCGCATTCTTCAGGCACTCCTTCAAATGGTCCAAATGGGTTGTCTGAACGCATCTTTGTATTGAAGAAAAACACTTGACGTCTTCCTCATCGTTCAATCCCACATTTCCATCGTTGTTACTCCGCACTGTTATTGCCAAACTTGGGCCATAACTCTGAGAACTCCCAACCTGTCTTTGAATGTTCGAACACAAGGCATCAAAAGCGTCTGCATGATCTCCAATTACTCTGCTCAAACACGTTAATTCTTCTTCATTAACCGATCCCACCGTCGCGGGACTAGCGTCACTCTGCCTATCGTCAACTTCGGCATCGGCACCTTCTACCATCAATCTCTTCACTCCCAATTCCAAAACCTTACCCAAAACCTGCACGCAATCACCGATTTCCGACGGCACATCTTCAGGCTTTCCCTCTTCGACACGCAACAAATCAGCCCGTTCCTCGACAGTTTCGTTTAAGGTCGAAACTTCTTCTTCTCCTCCTTCTTTGTTTACGCTCTCCAATTCGAGCATCTTCCTCGTGCTTCCCACTATCTGGTCGATTAAATTCTGGACTAATAACAAGAATTCCGCTCGTAACCGCAGCGTTTCGTGGTCGAACCCCCATATCGACGTAGCGTTATCAAACTGAATCAATTCAAGGGTCGCTAAGTACGTTAACAAAGACGGTGACGAACAAGAGGGCGACCAAGTGACATTGTCGAATCGACCAGATCGAGATACGATCGTCTGGAGTATAGAAAGAGCGAGTTCGGGATTCCTAACTCTAAGAGCAACAATAGTGGCACGGAGAGGCTCAAACTGGCCAAGAAATAGATGATTTGCAGCCAATCGTGAAAGAATTTCAGTTTCTTTGTCCTCCATACCTTAAATCCGGCAAAAATCCAGTCGCATAATGTAGATTCCAAGTGAAATTCGTCAAGAACAATGGATTAGCGAATTGGGTAACATGAAAAAAAGCGATAAAATTGAATTGGCCGTATATATAATGAGCGTGATGATGAAAATGGCGACGTCTCTGGGGGTGGAACTGTTTGATTCTCGGAAAATTGAAGCGGAAGAATGACAAGAAAGTTGCATCGGCGAAAATGGCCCAACGGTGAAAAGGTTAAAAATGAAAAAACTCCGTTGGCGCTGCCACAGTCGCCAATTCCCACGGCGCGCTCGTGATTGTGGCGCGCCATTTTTTTCCGCGCTATAAAATATCAATTTTTATTTTATTTTATATAATTATTAAGATTTTATTTACTTATCGTGTGTGGAATTTAACCTAATTCAGTTATTTTTTATTTTAACCATACATACATCCCTACTTTATATTAAATTTTAATATTAATATGTTCACATTTATTCTTATTTTTTTATACGTTATATTCGTATTACCTGTGTTTTATATATTTCAATGAAAAATATTTATTGTTTTATTATTTCTATTGATCGTAGTTAAATAAATAAATAATAAATTAACGTTTAAAAGGTTGAGATAAATACGATTATAAAGTAGTATACTAATACTGTAATTTAACATTATAACTATATGCAAATACAAACCGATACGTGCTTGAATTTTTACTGTCGAGCAAGAAAAAATGAAAGGTAAATAAATGATTAGATATAGTCGAACGACGGGACCAGTATCTTCTCCATAAATTTTATATATTTGTAGATGAAAATTATCGTCCTTTGCTGACCAACCACTTTTGTTGTCGTTTTCTTATGTTCTATGAGCCGATGTTTCTACTGTGAAAAATGTTTTTCTTGCTGACTCCCTCACGAGCACGTTCTTTCTCCCATAAATATTTCTCAATTGTGTTCGAAATTTAAAAAATGACCAAATCTCTAGTTAAGTTGTTGTTTTGTTACTTTTTACTTATAAGATGCATTATAAATAAATAAATAATTATCAAAATCAAGTTTATTTATTTATTTATTTAGAAAATTTTAAAAATGTATTAAATATTTTTTAGATATTAAAAGATAAAATAAAATATATTTTATTTTTACCGCATTAGGTTTATAATATAACCAATTTAAGTAAAAATTGCTTAAGAAATTGGAACAAGGGCAAAAGGAAAAGGGGAAGATCTGGGTGATTCTTTTTGTACCGCCGTCAGCTTGGCTATCAATCATTCGTTCGGCGGCATTTTCCCGAGAATCAAACAATCCCGTTGGGTAATTTGTTTGGCGGGAAAAGTTCTTAAAAAGGAAATTTGAGGCGGCATATGGTTTCTACTTTTATCGGATCAGTAGAAGTAGAACGTACTAAGTTTTTGTATCTGTAACAAGTTACCGATCCTCTAAGATTCACTGTCATGGCTGATGTCCTTCCGTCGTGTCGGTCACCGGCGGCAATGAAGGTCGCCGGAGGGGACGAGCTGTCGGCGAAAGAAGAGAACGTCGATGGTTCAGCAATGGCAGTTGATTCAGACGTGAATTTTGAAGCCGAGGCTTTGAAGTTACGAGGTCAATGGGAGTTGGCATCGGTTTTGAACTTCTTGAATGTGAGTTTGTTTTCCCGTTTACATTGCCTTTCATAGGGAGAGGAAGAAATTGCGTTAGATACTGCATTGGTGATGAAATTAATGTGTTTATTTCTTTAATTTTTTTTTCCATGGAGGTTTTCGAGCCGTTAATTGGGAAAAGCTTGAGGATTTCGGCAGAAGAGATTGAAAAGGGTTTGATAATGCCCGACAGTTCATTAGTTGAACTCCACATTGTTCTTTTGAAGGTTGAAGATGTTTTTTTTCTTTCATATCTTTAAATGCACTGATCATCAATTTTCATTACTAAACGACTGTTTGTATCTTTTCAGTCGGCCATCTCACTCAAACTATGATTTCGTTCTATGCATCATACATAGGCGTGTGTTTTGGTCATATGAACGTCGTGATGCATCTTCATCGTCCCTCGTGTCTACTAGCATTGTCTCGAGGATATTTTATTTATCTTGCCAATAATTGATGCCTTCCATTGGGAATTTGGGATAGAGTGTTTTTGTTGGTCTCATTTAGGTCTTGTTTTTGTTGGTCCCATTTTGTATACATTTCTCAAAACTTGTTTTGAATGCAAATTTTAACGGCACCAATGAAAACAGCATTCATTTACTTCGTTGTAGTTATTCAACAGGTAGTTATCTCTTAGAAGTGGAAGCCCATCTCTCGTGGTGCTTTAGACAAGGTTTGTGGGATTATAGAGCCCTTTATTCACTAATGTGCTGTTTATGTTATCAGGGTATACTACCACCTGTAAGTAAAATGTTAAATGGTTCTAATGCATGGGTGACTGTACTTTGTAAGAAGCTCGCCCAATGGTGGCCTCGGGTAAGTTACTGTTTGTACGGTCGTGCTTAGTTTAGTCTTCTGTTTTCGCCTGTGTCAGTAGCATAAGAATAACACATGAGTGTTTATTGCAGGTTGCTGAAGGGGAAATTCCAATTAAGGCCTTTAAAGGGTAGTTACAATAATACTATTTACTTGTATGACATATCTGTATCTGCATAATTTTGAAAATTTATTGATTGTATCTTTGTTCCATTGTTTCTTTTATACAGAGAGGAGATATCAAATTACAAGAACCTTGATCCGACAAAACGCTTACTGCTTCTAAAAGCTCTATGTCAAATTCGAGCTGATGTATTGTTTCGTATCTTTGTTCATTTTCATTGCTTACTTTTATAACCATTCATTTTTCTTATTACCACTATGCTTCAGACCGTGGATCAATATGACCTATTCTTATTTGGTCCATGTTTCTTGTTGAATAAATTTGGGTACGCATTTGGAGACTGCTTTATATGTGAACTATTTTGGATAATGTTCTATAATTTTTTTTGCCTATTAAAAGATTTTGTTCGATATATTTTTATGGCCCTTTTATTTTCGACTTTCTTCATCTAAAACTTATCAAAATATCTTCGCACCATGGGGTCTTCACGAACTTGAATGATTTATTTAATTTGTTCATTTGCAGCAAGATGATGCAGTATCATATATTAGCGACTGCTCGAAAGATAAAACTCAAATATCTTGTTTCCAGAAAGATAAATTTGGAGGAGATGGAAATGGAGTTTCCTATTGGTAATTTGTTAAAGTTATTTGTCTTCATCAAATTTCTGAAGTCTGATGATCAACTGTATCAGTAATTCTTACTGTGATTTTAGGTATGATGGGAATCCATTTGTCGGTTATAGACTATACAGGGAAGTTATCAAATGTGATAGAAAGAAAAAAGGTAAACAAAAGGGAAGTATTTCCCTTCCAAAGTTCAGCACTCGATGGGAAACAATGGCCACAAATCTCGAGGAATTTCATAAAGTTAAAGTATGTTGACAGTCCCTTTCATTTTGGATTTGAGGTCTGTTACCAAGGGCTTAGAAATCGTTAACGACTTCTTTCTTGCTAATGGCAGGACAACTTTTTATGCAGCAAGATCAGCAGTGAATTTGCTGTTGGAAGGAAAATTGAATCAGATGCCATTCCTGTTCTTGAGAAACTTCGGAAGGTTGTCGTTGCCTAATCATTATGGTTTTGTGTTTGATTAATTATTATGCTTTGTATTGTCAATTTTTGCTAGTACCATGTAAAAGTCGTAGATTGATTCTGATTGGAGATCAACTAGTTTTTTGTGGTTATAAAGCCTCTGCTTTTGTATGCTGCAGAGTAAGGAAAGGTCATTGAAACGTAAGCATAGAAAGAGCATGCTCTTGAATGGCTTTAAGAAGTCCTGCATAGTTGGAGTTACTCGCACTTGTCGGATTCGTGCACCCGTGAACTATACATTTGGTATAGAATCAAGTTCCCTTCACTATTCTTTTGGTTATTAAACTAACTGCTTTTGAAATTTTCAGACGTTTGTAGTAACCAATGTATTGTCATTTTCACTCTTTTGTCTTTGTTGCTGTAATATTACAATGAACACACACAAAGGACGAAATGGCTTGCCATTTTGGCACTATTCCTGCTTTGTCAGTGATTAGAGTTGGACTTGGAAGAATAATTTTCTGTCACCTATGTTGTAGTATGTAGGTCAAGATGACTGAGTGGAGTTGAATTATTATTTTTGTTCTTCTAATCTCTCTTAATAATTGATCAACATTCTGGCAGTTGTTGATGGGAATTTGAAAATTTTGCCAAAATATAGTTGATATTAGAAATTCGATCTTATGTGCATATCCACACTTTTTATATTCTTAACCACCTCTTAATAAAGTGTCGATTTGTGGAATGCTGTGCAGAGGAGTACAATCGGGCTATTGATGACGCCATAGGGATATCTAGGTAAACATTTTTCTTCTCTCTCTATCTTCATAAATTTGGGAAAAAAAAAAAATCATATTTCTTTGTTTATAGATTTACTGCCTTCTTTATTTATTTTATAACGTTCTGATCAAGACTAATATTTTTTTTTTCCAGTGACATCTTTGACTTTTAATGGATTTTATGGGTGTAAATGTGAACACCCTTGACTATAGACTTTCCTCTTTACTTTCCAATAGGAGATGTTTCTTGTAGTGCTCTTTTATATTCTCCAATTTTCTTATGTGAAATAATATATAGATATATATCATATGTAATTGTCTAGGGGTTTAGACACAGCCTTCAATTCCATGTTAAAACGCCAATGAACCCTAAAACTTAAACTTATAAATTAGTAAGTTTATTCCTTTTGTCAATACGTAAACAACTATCTCTTTTTTGTTTTGATAGACTATAAAGAATAAGTTATTGAGATGATTCAGAATGAACCAAAGTCGATATAATATGGTATACAAGACCGACCATATACTCATATTCCCTTGTTTCGGTGGTGGAAGTTGCCATATGTATCTGGTTGCATGGAAAGCTAGTTGTGTTTATGCTGAGTTCATAGCTTTTGTAGGGCAAAGTATTCATTGTAGTCTACTACTAATTTCAGTCACTTGTTCTTCAAAAATATTCAAAAAAACTCAGTTGACACTAGGTTCAAATTATTCTTAGTCTTAGCATGCCCACAAGTAACCAAATTTTGGCCTTAATATTTGGATATCATTTTCCCTCTAGGATGTGAGTTGTAGTGTTGCATTTGAGGACACTTGGATGTTGGTTACTGCTTATCATGTAGGAGGTTTGTTGTGCAGCCGTTTTTTTTGTTCATCAATTGCTTTCAACAGCATGAACAGTAGGGGCTAATTGCTATCAGTATGGTACGGTTGTAGGAACTCAATTTTGTAGTTTGTATCTTGGAATCCAAGGAATTCTCCTGGATAATATTGATGGATGAAATCTGTGACACAAAATCCTAGCTGTGGGTAATTACCAAAAGCACCTCCAATGTCAGGAGGGACGATATATTATAGTTACAGAAGGGAGTAGAAAAGGTCACTCCCAAGTTAATGCAAGAAAAGGTGTAGATTCAATGAAAGTAAGAGTACTTTGTTGCTCATCTGTAAAGAGCTGCACATTTCTTTCCATCCATAAGTTCCAATAGAAAGCATATATAAAGTTCTTCCTTATGAAATTCAAAATTTTCATTTCGTATATTGAAAGAGTTTACTTTTACGGTTAACCCGTTCTGTTCCCTGTGTCTTTGTTTGAACAAACCTTGAATACAATAGTTCTTGAGGGTTCACAGGTAGCTGAATATTTATTCGATGATAAGGGCTTATTATTCAATCTTTAAAAGGTGTTTTGAGTGAGTTATTTCAGCTCCATGCTTTCCTTTCTCGAATTAAAAAAAATCTCGGGATTAACATAATTTTTTTTTTTACCATAAATGGTTATTTTACTTATTTTAACACTCTTTTAAAAAAAAAAACTAAAAATAGTACTAGGAATTGAATTTCTTTTCTCAACGTGATATAAAGTCACAACTAATGAAATATCGTATATATACTTTTACGTTCTATATATATATATATAATTGTAATAAATTATTAATTACAATTTCAACTATAGAATATATCAATCAAACTATTAAAACTTAAATGTATTAAGATTGAAAATTTCTATATGCATAGATACAATTATTTATTTAAAAAGTCAATAGTTATTTTTTAAACAAAATATAAAATTTAAAGATTTTAAAATATATATTAAAATATTAAAATACCATATTGTTGTTTGTTTTATTCATTTATTATTTATTTTTAATAAGAAAGACAACGAGTTTGGAAGATAATATTAGCAAAAGCATAATCCAACTTAATAAGGGTATTTAGGAAATAAAAATAATAATATAAATACATTGTACTAAAAAAAAAAAAAAAAAAAAAAAAAAAAAAAAAAAAAAAGGAAAGCCCATGGTATTTGTCCAGCCCATCTTACCAGCGCAGAGGTTTATTGCGCTTCCTTCTTCATTACATTCTCTCGTTCGTTGCCCTCAATATTCCCTCTCATTTCTTCATCTTCTTCCTGCAACCATGTCCGCTTCATCCGAAACTCCGATCGATGAGACCCTGTCTGCTGGTGACGAAGCATCTAAAGCTGTCAGCAAGAAGGCCGCCAAGAAGGAGGCTGCCAAGCTGGAAAAGTTGCGCCGTCGCCAGGAAGCTGCCGCTGAAGCTGCTATTTCGTCTCTCAATGTCGAGGACGACCCACTCTCCGCTAACTATGGCGATGTACCTCTCTCCGATCTCCAATCCAAGGAGGCTAAGGATGTCGCGAACTGGACTCAGGTCGGCTCTTTGACCGGGGAGCTTAAAGACAAGTATGTGATTCTACGTGGACGCATTCAGACGATCCGTGCTGTTGCCAAGAAGATGGCGTTTCTCGTGGTGAGAGAAAAGGGATTCACCGTGCAATGCGTTGTGTCGGAGCAGCCGGAGCTCGTCAGTCGCCAGATGGTGAAGTATGTCGTTGGATTGAGCCGTGAATCCATTGTCGACGTTGAAGGAGTCGTGTCTGTGCCCAATGTTGCCATTAAAGGTGCTACGCAGCAGGTGGAAATTCAAGTGAGGAAAGTATACTGCATCAGTAAGGCAATGCCGAGTCTGCCTATAAATATTGAGGACGCTGCTCGTAGTGAAGCTGAGATTGAGAAAGCGTTGCAGGTATACTTCGTTATCGCTCACTTTCGATGTGTTCTTCTTCGTGCTTCGATTATCTGTTCAGCTCGATTGTCTAATTTCCATTGTTCTTCGTAATTAATTTGGAGAATTTTAGAAGTTCCAAATCTAATGATTGTTTTTTCTTTCATTCTATGTCTATTGAAGCTAATTTTTTATACCAAAAATAAAATAAGAATTTTCTAGAAATTACACATCCTGTTTAACGTCGGACTCATTTGTTGGCTGCAGGCTGGTGAGCAACTAGTACGTGTTAATCAGGATACGCGGTTGAACTACAGAGTTCTTGACATGCGAACTCCAGCTAATCAAGGAATTTTTCGCATTCAATGTCAAGTTGGAACAGTGAGTTTTCTATCTTATTTTCTGTTTTCTGGTTTTAATTGTTCCATTTTTTAGAAAATTATTAGAAACAATTTCATTGATGTCATTACAAAAGAGGGGAGACCCCTATTGGGAGATTACCAAAAACCTCTCCAATTGAAGGAATGAGGTTAAGCTATAGTGATGAAAAAGAACCTTTACACCAAGTCACAGCCAAGTGAACTTTAGCATAAAAAAATCTACTAAAAAAGTATTCCTTAACTTGGAAAATTATTTTGTTCCTATCTTGCCAGTTACTACAGCAAAATTCCCTAATAAAATTCTCCCACATGAAGCTTTTTTTTCATTTTTGAAATGATGACCCCCTAAAGTATGCGAGAGAAGAAGCTTTAGATTTTCAAATCCACTGTACTAGAAAGGTGCCATTTTTTTTTAGTGGAAGGATTTTTTTTTTTTTCTTTTTTTTTTTTTTTTCATTTAATGAGATGCAGCACCTTACTTTCTCCATGGCCTTTCCAAATGAAATTTCTAATCATTCTCTCTATGGTTGTGGCCACCTTGACCAGTGTTTTAAATACAAACATATAGTACGTAGGGAAGTTTGATAGTGTGGCTTGGATGAGCGTAGGCCTTGTATTTTTCCAAGAGAGAAGCCTCTTGTCCACCTTTTCAATAATTGGCTTCCAAAATTGTAGTGACCGAGGCTTACCATTGAAGGGAAGACCAAGATAAACGGCGGGCCAATTTCCCACTTTGCAACAATATTTATTTGCAAGAACATATTTATGCCTAAGATTTCTGATTTTTTATGATTGAAATTGAGCCCTGATGTCAGTTCAAAATGCCTCACCAGCTTGAATAAGTTATCAAGAGCTCGTCCTTTTGCCCGAGAATAATATTGTATTGTCATTAAAGGTTTCTTTTAATTGTTGATCTAAATGGATGTTTTTATATCATACCAAATTGAAGCATACAGACTTTATCCAAAGTTGATCTTGGTAGCTATATCTACTATTATCAGCCAGCTTGATTCGTGTTGCATAGTTCGACGGTCATCTTTTGAATAAAAAACTATTGACTGGTGGATCTTTGGTAGTTTCATCTATTAATAGTTGGAGTCTTTGATGGCGTCCACGTTTAGTATCATCAGCATAGCTTTCTTATTTGGTCTCCATGATTTTTCCGTGCAATGTCTTGTTTGATTTGTAGATTTATTAAGGGAATTGATGAGGCATGTTTACAGCTAGTGTTTGAGTCCTTCTTAGCATTATTGTAAATGAAGGGTTTGCAACATAGATTGAGTTTGTTCTCATTATGCAGATATTTCGACAATTTCTGTTGTCCGAAGGCTTTGTTGAAATCCATACACCAAAATTGATTGGGGGTTCCAGTGAAGGTGGTGCTTCTGTATTTAGGTTGGACTACAAAGGTCAACCCGCTTGCCTGGCTCAGTCACCTCAGCTTCATAAGCAAATGTCAATCTGCGGCGACTTCGGCCGTGTATTTGAGATTGGTCCTGTTTTCAGAGCAGAGGACTCATTCACACACAGACATTTATGTGAATTTACAGGACTTGATGTTGAAATGGAGATTAAAACCCATTATTATGAGGTAATGCTCTGAGTTGACTTTTTATTTGTCATGGTCATCTTTACTTGATACTTGATCTGATTTCTTTTCTTTTTCTATGCAGGTCATGGACATCGTGGACCGATTATTTGTCTCAATGTTCGACAGTATGAATCAAAACTGTAAGAAGGAGCTTGAAGCAATTGACAAACAGTATCCCTTTGAGCCTTTGAAGGTGAACTTTATTGATAATCTGCTTCTCAGAAATCTTTATAGTGCCAAAGTGTTGGATAATCTTGTGGCTTTGGATTTATGCCAATAAATATGTAAAATGTGGATAGATGACTGAGTTTGGTAGTAGATTGATTTCTTCTCATTTCCATCTTTGATCCGAGTTCATGATTATGCAGTACTTGCGAAACACTCTACGCCTTACATTTGAGGAAGGAATTCAGATGTTGAAGGTGAAGTTCTCTTGTTTGTTTTTTGTAACTTTTTAATTGCAGTGCCAGATAAATTGTAGAAAGATTCCAAATCCCAAATGTCATGACATTTTCTTCTTGGTTATGAATGATTATCTACACAGGATGCTGGCGTTGAAATCGATCCTCTCGGGGATCTTAATACAGAGGCTGAGAGGAAATTGGGACGACTCGTCCTAGAGAAGTAATTCGTGTCCCTACTTGAACTTATGATGTTGTACAATTATTATATATCTAAAGATTGCTGATCAAACTTTCCTAACTATAGGTATGGCACAGAGTTCTACATTCTTCACCGCTATCCTTTGTCTGTTAGGCCATTCTACACTATGCCTTGCCATGATAACCCAACTTACAGTAACTCATTTGATGTCTTTATTCGAGGTATACATTAAATATTATTTCGTCACTATAAGTGTCTTGCTGGTGCTTATTCTTCTCTATCATTTTATGTAACAAAATTTTCTAATATATGATCCATGATAAGTAACTTAAAACTTTGTTGTTCACGCAGGGGAAGAAATCATTTCTGGGGCTCAGCGTGTTCACGTGCCAGAATTTCTTGCAGAACGCGCTCAAGCATGTGGGATCGAT